CTCCCATACACAGGCAAGCAGTCCGTGCATGACGGCACCACCACCAACACCACCCGCAGCAGGGTCCGGAGAGGGAAGTACGGCAGTACCGCACCACAGCTATAGCCACTCCTATTCCTTCGCGTCGGTGAAGACGAATTACGTCGTTGAGCACGCGGCGCCGTCGGCGGTGTGTTTGGTGCGCAAGGTACAGAGCTCACCGTACCAGCCACTTCCGCCGGATCAAGTGCAATCCGTGACAGTGCCGAATCTCCTCTCGTTGCGCCCGCCGCCCCACGTCGCACACCAGGCAGTCATGGACTTCTACTTTGCTATGAATGGGCACTGCGGTGTGCACTGCCCGGACCCTTCGGCGATAGACCTCATCACGGTTGCCGCGCACGCAAGGAATGCAGCTGTGGCTAATAGTGGGGGCAGCAGTAACGCGGATGGCCATGCGAGGGAGTTGCCGCGGTCGGGCACAGGGGGCGCACCGCGGTATTACCACGCAGCGGACTCCGCTGCTAGTGCTGCTTCTACATCAGTCCCTTACCACTCCGCCGGTGCTCCGAACAGCGGTGGCGGTGGCAACAACAAGGCATTCCCAGTCGCCGAGCCGATGTATGCAGCGCCAGGTATGGATGGTGCAATGTACGCCGGCCAGCACCAGCAGAAGCAGCAGNGAGCCGATGTATGCAGCGCCAGGTATGGATGGTGCAATGTACGCCGGCCAGCACCAGCAGAAGCAGCAGCAGCATGGTTCAGCTCCTTCCATCTTGGGTACATCGATACTTCCCCCCACCGCTGTGTCGTCATCAGAGGACTATCGGCTTTCGCAGATACGCCGTAATGAGCGTCACGTGAACAACGCAATATATGGCAAGGTATGTGCCTTCTTTAACACGCGGGAAGGCTGTAGGCGTGGGCCCTACTGCAACTTTCTCCATATTGGCAAGGGGGGGCAAAGCGGAGCCGGGGTTGGTACTGGTGCTGCGGTTCCTCCACAATTTCCGTGAGGTGTATGCGTATGACTGTGTGACGGGACAGGATAGTTTGATGTTGTAACGTGAGAGAAGTGCCAACTAGCAACGGTTATTGCTTGGTGCCTTTCTTGGTGCATGCCTCACAGCTGTACTGTGAAGGCATTTCATCACTGCAGTTTGTGCGTGTGTGTGTGTGTGTGTGTGTGTGTGTGTGTGTGTGTGTGTGCGTTTGGCCTTTCTGTTGCTATTACCTGCGTCGTATTGCGGTCGTACCGCTCATCCATTGCAATAAGGAAGTCACGATGGCCACCGTAATTGTCGACAAGCCGACCAGCGTCTCAGCAGTTCCCATTCATGCGTTCCCGCAGCCGAAGGCGCACGAGCACCCCCAGTGTGGGGTTAGCAGCAGAAGCAAAACGAGCAGCCAGCAGGACGTCGTGTTCTGGTCCTTCGTTGCTGGTGCGCTGACGGGGGGCATGGAGGCCCTCATCACGTACCCCATAGAGTATGTAAAGACCAACCTGCAGCTGCAGCAGCTGGTTCCCGCATCAACGGCATCGACAACATCAACAGCAACGCCGCACGTGTACCACGGCATTTGGGATTGTGTGAACCGCACAGTCCAGCAGCACAGTCCACTGGGGCTCTATCGCGGCTTTTTCCCTGTGCTTCTGGGCTCTATCCCGAAGCAGGCGTCCCGCTGGGCTGCGTACGAATGGGCAACTGACACCGTCAAATCACTTAAGCGTGCTGGTGGTGCCCAGCAGCAGCAGCAGAAGGATGTGACCCTCAGCCTGCTAATGATGAGCGCATGTGGATTCTTCGCCGGCTGTGTGGAGGCGGTGTGTGCGGTGGCGCCGACGGAGAGTGTGAAGACGCGCATGATTCACGACGCGAAGCAGCCGTGCCCGCGCTACAGCCCGTTAGGCACCGTTCGAGCGGTGCAGCTGATGCTGCAAGAAAATGGGGTGCGGCGCACCTTCTACAGCGGCGTCGGCACCACGATGGTGAAGCAAGGTCTTAACCAGTCCCTCCGCTTCCCCGCGCAGAAGCTCTTCATGGATGCGCTGTGTTGCTGCTACCGCAGCACCAACGGCGGTGACCGGCACACTGCGCAGCAGGAGGAAGAGCGGTGGCGGCGGAGCCCGCTGTGGAACGGGGTATCTGGTTTCTTCGCCGGTGTTTTCTCTGTCCTCGTTACGCAGCCGGTGGATGTCGTTAAGACGCAGCTGCAGTCTGGTGCCGCACGGCATGCCGGCTCACCGCACATGAGCTGCAGCTGCTGCTATCGCGCGATATACCGCCAGCGTGGGATTTTTGGCTTCTACGCGGGCGCCATTGCGCGAAGCGTGCACGTCGGCACGCACGTGGCGCTAACCTTTACCGTGTTTCCAGTCGCCAAGCGCGTGATCCTCAGTAACGCCGGCACCAACGCCACCAAGTGAACATTTTTTTTTCTCTTTGTTGCTTGTTTGTTTCTTCTTCGGCTCCGTCCGCCACGAACACAAAAAAAAGGACCCTCCGCAATGGCAGCGGTGGGGGAATGACTCGTGGCGCCAAGAGAGGAAGAACAAGAGCAACAAGAGCGAAGATAGATTTTTTGTTGTTGTTTGGGGGTGAGAGGAGTGAAGCTATTTGCGTTCTTTATCGTCCGAGGAGAAGACGCGTTGTTATACGGTGGGGAGTGTGGGTGGGGAAGGCGTCTCGTTCGCGGGGCCCTGCATTACACGTTTGTTTGTTTGATTTTGTTTTGTTGTTGTTGTTGTTGTTTTTGGGGGGGCGCTTGGCTTTTTGCATTCTCCGNTCTTCGTTCACTTCGACTGTGGGTCCCCTGTGGCGTGCCCCACACATTTCTGGCACGCGTGCCTCCACCTCACGCCCACTGTCATGCGCGCCGTCGTCGGGCCCCGTGTCTGGCACTCCGCAGCAACCGCAACAGGGGGCGAGAGGAGGTATGCTGGCGAGCGCGGCGGACGGCAACTGATGCGGGGCTGACGGCCTTCTCTGTGTTGCTATTGATGGGGATGTGGTGGTGGTGGTGGTGATCATATCGACCGAGAGGCGAATGTGTGTATTGGAAGATGTGCCTGCGCGTCGTGGTGCTCGAGAAACATGTGTGTACACGCATGCGCATGCGAAGCGAAGTAGAAGTGTGGTCAAGCCAAAAAAAAGGTGAGAGAGAGAGAACGAATTGATGTGGAATCAGGAGCTTCCATAAACGCGGCGGCGAAATGCATCAAGGTTGTTGTTGGCCCCTTCGTGGAGGCGGGGCAACGATGAGGAGGGGGTGGGGCGCTCGGTATTCCCCCTTTCGTCTGTGTGTGGCTGTGTGTGTGTGTGCTTTGCTTTGTTTAATGGTTCTTCTTGTTGCTGCTCACGTGGTCTGTTTCGTCGCCACGGTGCGCCTGCGGTTCTCACTGACCCTGCGGCTGTGGCGTGGTGCCCTCCATGTTAAATAAGCTCCTTTTTTTTTTGTTTGCTTTTTTGCTGTTCTCGGTTTGCTCCGGTGCGGGATGTGGCACGGCCTCACCCCGTGCCCTGCGGTGATCCCGTCGGCCTCCTGGATTGCCGCAGTTGTGATCTTTCTCCCTTGCTTCTTTGTTGTTGGTGTTTTTTTGCTTTTTTTTTTTCGCTTTGTTTTTGCTGTGTGGCCACGCCTTGTGTAATGTGTGCTTCTGCTATGTGTGTCTGTGTGGTGGTGGTGGTGGTGGTGGCGTCTGTGGGTGTGATGCGGAGTGGGGGGATGCGCGTCATCGTCATCTTTTTTTGTTTGTTTGGCTTTGAAACAACGGGAAGTGCCTCGCGTTGCTTCTGCTTCTGCTGCTG